TAATTAGTCCAATTTTTGTAATTTATTTTTGATTATTTTGTTTTATTTACGAAACCATAGCTATCAGTATTTTTTTAATGTTTCAGTTTTAGTTTTATGTTTTTTTAATTTTGCGGTATGTTTTTTTTATCAAAGATATTTATTTTTACTCGTGTTTTATGTAAATATATAGATATTTTAAACGACTTGAGTTTTAATAATTAAAATACCTAGGTATATTTTGAGTATTAAATTGTTTTACTCACAAGTGTTATATACGTAATAAATAAGTTTTGGAAAAAATATTAAATCGGGGACTCTGTGGCCCCTTAACTCCCATAATCGCGCTTCCGCGGTGTCATAATATAATCCCCATCCCATCGAGAATCAGGATGGTGACTCGTAACACCGTGCGCAGTTTAGTAACTCGCAATCCGCAATTTCTGCCATCTTGGGTGTTATTAAGTGTCATGGTGTCACGCGGGCTGTTTCAGCACCCATGACACCCAGAGAGGTGTCAACACAAAAGCGCCATTCAACACGGTGTTACCCATGACTAGTTCGGGCTCCTTGTATAGTCTCCATGCCTATGAACTTGGGCCCGGCATGAGGCGAGTGAGCGACTACTACGTTGCATCTTTATCTGCTTGAAAGACGATTGTTGTTCTAAATTGTCGAACGACAATTATGAAGTTGTTTTTTTATGTTATGCATTTATACAATGAACTGCCTCGAACGAACTCGAAAAACTGTGATAAATATACATACCTACATACCTTTGAAAGCATTGCGATTTAAACACTGGCGATTTATCAGCAGTTACTACAGTTATCGAAGAATTTGTATGCCGCATGTGTGGGCTGAAAAAGATAGACGACATCAATGAGGCTCGTGTAGCTGTTTTAATGAAAACCAATAAATTAAATGAGGATGACGAAATGTCCCAAACCAATGCAAAAAATGTCGATAGACGAACCGCATATATTGCACATGTTTGGAGATGTGATTATCAGCCATTTCAAACCGGATTTAAAATGTGGAGTCGCCTATGGAATGGGGTCGTTAGGAAGACCTGCCCTTCTGCAGGCAGACACTGTTTGCGTTCTACAGACCCTACAGAGTACTCATCAAGAGGCAGGAGCAAACTACCAGCAATGACATGGATGTAATTAACGAGTTCACAGAGGGATCAAAAAGGAAGGAATGTGCAGGATGTAGAATTTATTCTATATTCTATCAGTGGGCAATGGATATGCATGCAACTCTAGTAAAAGAAAAAGTGCTTAGATTTTGAAATATTATATCTATAAGTCGCCGATTGCGTGTTTTTTTATTAAGGCGATGTTTCGCATTGTATTACCTATGTCCTGTCCTTTGGTTACTGCAACTCTCTCGGTTTCGAAAATACAATACCTCTATGTATGTTTTCAGCCACGTAAATTTAATAATTCCAAATATTTCGAATTTTCACCCAAGAATGGCAGTTACGACATTTTTAACATTAAGACGATGTTTCGCATTGTATTAACTATGCCCTCTCCAAATTTGGTTGATGCAACTCTCTTGGTTTCGAAAATTTAATACCTATGTATGTTTTCAGCCACGAAAACTGAATATTTCTAAATATTTCGAATTTTCAAAACCAAGAACGGCGCTGACAACATTTTTAATATTAAGGCGATGTTTCGCATTGTATCAGCTATGTCCTGTCCAAATCTGGTTAGTGCAACTCTCTTGGTTTCGAAAATACAATACTTATGTATGTTTTCAGCCACGAAAATTGAATAATTCCAAATACCTATTTCAAATTTTCACCCAAGAACGGCAGTCGCATTGTATTAGCTCGGTTTCGAAAAATTCACACGTCACCACCGTTTTCTCTTTAATACGTTGGATAACGGCTCAGATGGATTGATCTCCTAACAGGAGGAAATACAAGAGACCCAATGGGTCCTAAGTACTGTAACTTCTAAGCAATTATTTAGCCATTAATAAATTATTACATTTATATGTATATTTACAGATAAAGAAACAAATACAGAGCAAGACTAAGAAAACGATTCTGAAATCAATAATGCTGGTATTGAGGATATCAACGTAATATTAGACATAGGCGCCGACTTCTCGGGTGCTCCGTATTTGTCGGGTGCGGAGCACCCGCAAGAATTATTATCAGTTTTGTTAGAATAGTATATTTCTGTGCTACCTACTTTTACGTCTACATAGTACATATATTTATATTTTCACTTGTTATTCCATTATTTTTTGTTAAAATTATTAAGATTGTTAAATTTTTGAAATTTGTATCGAAACAGTACTAAAGTTTATTTATTTTGACAAGTTTAATTAATTTCGATATATTTTTTAAAAAGTTTTTCATAAAATCTAATTTGGAGAAATACGTATTTTAAATCTTTTACCTTATATGACGACTCAATTTTCTTGCTTTTTAATGTTATCTGTTAAAAAAATGCTTATAAGGCAACCGAGCAACTGACAAAAGTTTTAAAAGTCGGCGCCTATGAATTATTAAATGAAACACATGACACTATTGATCAACGTGATGTGGATGAATATGAATGGTCATAATCATAAAATTACGTTTGTCAAACAAGGTCAGCATAGTTATACATAAAACATAATAAATATAGAATTCTTTGAAATGAAAATCAAGAAATAAATTTTTCCAAGTATTTGGAAATGTTTTAATTGGATTTCTATGGCTTACTTTATCGCTCTCACGTAACTTCAGATAGACCATCGGTACTTTCCTACCCGGTACAACGACCCAACAATGACATTCTTTTACCCCTCCAAAGTTATTTACCCCAAAATTTAAGTCAGGATTTTTGCGAAAAAAATATTTTCAGTTTAAAAAAATGTATAAAAGATTATGCAAAATCACAATGAAAGAAAAATCACACTCTTGAGTTTCTTTGGGGTACTTAGAAGTTAAAAATAAAAAAATATTTTAAATTATTATCGTAAATAGTTGATATTTGCCCGTTTGTACACCCTGTACATTTTTCAAAGTATTTTAAAAACTTAAAACGCAATTCACTTTCACCGAAGTAGATTTTGATATAAACTACGAATTTTGTCAATGGCTACGAAACGGTGTCTATTCTTTCCACATAAACTTTAATCAAAAGTAATTTCGTCCACTCAAATGCCTTTCAAGTTCAAGGAGTTACTATAATTAATACATTTATCTTCTTTAATACCCGAAACCCGACAAAGTTGTACGTTAATTGGACATTTGATAAATGCCCAGAAAACAATTTGGTACAGAAATAATGTTCTACTATTTATATAATCTTCGTCAAATCAGATGTGAAATAATTCCTTTATTTTTTTTAAATGTCTCCAAGAAATAGTCCATATCTAATAACAAATTAAATAAAACAGTTTTCTTTCGGTAAGCTCAGCCTTTGGCAACCACTAATTATTTTAATTATTACACCTTTTTACAAATCAAAAATTAATTTAACTAAAATATTCCAATATTGATTGTTTGACAGTAACAAAGACTGAAAAAAGTAAAACAAAAAATACGTAATTCTAATAGAAACATATAATCACAAGTAGATACAGTATGACCAACACCACTTACTGCTGTAGATGTGACCAATTTTTTTATGAATATCAATTTGGCTCTAGGGCTTATTCGATATTTTTTTTATCTTTTTATATGTGACAGTACACCTAAACAAAAGAAAAAAGAAATCAAAGTTCAGTCGATTATATTAAATATCGTTACTTTCTAAATCAGAGAAATATTCGCCACTGCATCTCTATCTCAACGATGCGTGGTGCGATGTGATTTCCGACATAAAAAGAACAGGGCCGTAGTCAGGACACACCGAAATAAAAATAATAATAATAATATCAGAAATACAAAGTATAGAAAATAGCTAGTCAGTCTTTATAATAACTGCACACAAAGTAGACTATATATCTTTTTTAAATGCAAAATATTCTGATTCGTTTCAAAGTACGCAGCTATCGTTCAAAAGTTATCCCTCTCCTTCAAAGCAGATAAAAGTTATTGGCAAAAATCCATTTATTTAAAGTCATCAACGCGTCTACTTCCCGTAAGGTGGATTTGCGGACCAATGTTTACATGAAATTTTTGTCTTATTTTGATTCGACAAACCTACCCTCAAAGTGAAGTACCACTATTTCCGAACACCCTAACCATATAATCCCATAACCGATAACTCCAATAACCACGTTACTCAGTATCGTCTTATTGCTATAAAATGATATGTTGCAGGATAGTTATTATGTATTATCCTCTTTTCAAATCAAAACAGTTTTAGGTAATACTATAATTTTTTTTATAGTGTAAACTTTGATTTTCAACTTTCCACATTTATCTAAAAAATATCCAAGTTTACGACCCATGTTGGATAGAACATTTTTGTTTATTTTGTTAAGGTTAAATCTAAGCAAGAGTATCACATTTGTATACGTCGATTTAAGAGATGCCTATATCATATAGAAGATTACAAATAAAACGTCTGAGGACCCCACTGGTTGTAGACGTCCCTGACAATGACGAAGGCATATTATTATTGAAACTTTCAGTGTATCGTCAACTATCCAACCGATCATATTTACAGTGTTGTTTTGTGAACCGGTATAGCAAATAACTGCGAAGATTGTTTTGTTACATATTTAGCAAATATGCATCTTGATGGTTTTTCGTTGTGTGCCAGTGTCTTGGTGCTTTGTTGTGCTTTAAGCGTAGGTGAGTATACTAACGGGCATATCTAAAGAGAATCTTGTTCAATCAATAAATAGTTGTTCTAATTTTGTGTGCTTGTGGAAATTGGTTTGTGACTTAAAAGTGCATCGTTTGTAAACTGTTGAAACTAAAAGTGCACAAAGGTCTTTATGGACATTTATAGATGTTTGTCTCAGTATCCTGTGTACAATAAAATGGACAAATTAAGTCACTTATAGTAAATTTATTTTTAGAATTAGTTATTACGTAAGTTGAATTAGTAATAATTCTGGTTCTCAATAAATGATCCAATATTTAACATCTTCTATGACGTCTTTTTGTCTAACTTAATTAAAAAGAATGTAATATTCGGAAAAAATTTCAATAAAAGACGACAACTGTGTTTAGAGAAATTCCGGGAGAGCTTTATTAGAAAAAAAAATATGTTTGAATAAATGTTCTTAAGGAACTGTTTTCCAAACATTATGGTATGCTGAATCTAAGGTCCAATGTTAAAATCCAAGATATAGATGATTCTAATCACCAATACAAATAAATATATTTAATAACCATTACAAATTATTTTAATGAAAAACGCTTACGCAAGAAGAAACATCAGATATGTGCTCGGAAGACCAGGCTCAGAAAATTCATACTCAAAAGACTCAGACAAGGACTCTGAAGATCTTTCTTTAAGTAAATTTGCAAAATATTGTCTTTTTTAGCACGGGTTTTTAGTTTGTTGAAATTTGATTGAAAAACGCTTGAAAGGTTGTTTTTTTTTAGTTACAGAGAACTGATTTTTTGTTTCGTTTTTGCTGTTTTAAATAAAATATTATATTTACCTTTTGTTACTTCGTAAGTGTAGTTTGCTTCATAAACCGTTGTGTCACAAGGTTTGCTTTTCGAGATACAGGGTGGTAAAAGTTTTATAGAATCGAATATGTATTATACCTCAAGAATTTATAAATGAATTCTTGGCTCAACTTACAAATGTGATAGATNTGCACCTCTTTTAAGCTCAAAATAATTTGCTCTAATTTATACTTGTTGTTTCTGAAGCAGCCATTAATCCCTGCGTTTATTTATTATCATTATTTTAATTTTATTAATTCGGTCAGCATTACTTACTAAAACCTCAAATAACTCCAAAACCGGTAATTTTTTTTGGCTTTAAGCAAAAGTACCTTTTTTATGGCAAATTGTTAAAAAAATATTATTTTTTTACCAAAATATTATTTTTTTACCAAAATATTAAAAATGTCCCCGTAAAAAAAGTTTGGGGGCAAAATAAGTGGCACCCCCCCCCCCTCCAGGGGCGGTCCTGTACAAAATATTAAAAGTTTGTCAGCAGTAACTTTTAAGACCTAATCAAACCTATTTGTGGTCTAAATTTCATTTAGTTATCTTAAACCGTCTCAGAGATAATTAAAAAAAATAATTTTTGGGGCCCCTTTTACAGAGCTGTATCTTCTGAAGGAGGCATTTGTGAACACATGTTTATTAACCAAACTAACATTATTTTTTAATATTCTATTTACCCTAGAAATTAGCGGAACGTTTTTTGAAACACCCTGTATAGATTAGATCGACCACATCGTTTACCCGATCTAAATTCGTTGATTATGAATAATATTATTATATCTGGCAAGTTCTGAAAGACAAACAAAAATAAGTTACTACAATCGTTACTATTTGCATTAGAAAAAATTTTACAGATTAAAATTTTTTTTCTTCATTTACAAGTTGTACCAAATTCGATTTTTATTTTGTGGATTCCTGGCATAACATGATATATTCACTTTTTTTCCAAAACAGCGCAGCCCCCTATTTAACTAGGCCATAGCCAAACATCGATCTCATTGTAACATGTAACTTAGTTAAGGTTATATTAGCGTATTTAAAAAATAAGTACGCCACTGGATTCTTTGCAAACAAATGTATTAGACAGAGTGTCAACATGTCAAAAAAGCAAAAGTTCATCTATAGCCGCTACATGAATCATCCAAAATATCAAAATTTTGATTTTTTATTACTCAAAAATTAAAAACATGAAATGTTTTGCCCGAAACATTTTTCTCAAAATAAAAGTCAGAACAAGTTTCATGTTAGCATATTTTAAACAGAACTAGGTAGATATTAAAATAATTATATGCAAAAATTTATATAGGACGGAGGTATCTACCACATATACATAATTGTGACATTATTTTTATGCTTTATTTCAAAATGTTAATGTTAAATACAGGGCAGTAAAAAATTGATAATTATTATTTGTTAATTAATAACATATTAAAAAATATGTAGATAAAGATAACACAGATCAATAAAAAATATATGTACAAACTTCTACTCTTTTTTTACCAGTTTCTAAAGAATGTAAGATTATATTTTATACTCGATTCCATGTCTATATTTTGTTATCATATTATCATATTAACTTCTAAAATTAAAGCTTAATAATTAAACACTTAGTTGCAAAAAAAGCGAACGAAATTTCACGGTCAATCGAATCAGCTTTTGGCACACATGTTGGTCATTGGATTGATCATCAACATCTATTGGTTTTTGCAATAATGCACAATTTTCGAAAACAGATTTTTCCGCGTTGTACCTTTATTTTACAGTTAATAAACTGGTGAAAAATGACTCTAAGCACCTTAAATTGCAGGTAATTTAATTGCCTATATCATACAATAACTAGGTCGTCTAGATTTTCATGGGCAGTAAAAAGTGAATAAACACGTAATTTTGTCACTTATTTGCCAACTTACCGTCACTCCTTTCGAGTCAGTTTTTTGATATTATCATTCTAATACCCTTCCCCGTCATAAAGTACAATAAAATGTCCACTAATTTATTTTCAGGGTTTATGATATAATTGTACTGAATTAATTGATAAGTAACAAAAGAATCCTTCTCCTGTTTTGACGAATCATTTCTAATCACATTTTGTATGCGAGAAAAACTGCATTGACAAAATCTTTTGTTTCGGGAACTGTTTATCGCGACAATTATAGTATACGCATTGTTGTCGAGGTTACTCTGTAGTTAAGGATGAAAAAAACTAATTAATTGACATTTAAAATTAAAACAATTTTATATGGTGAAAACACCAAGAAGGTCTAAAAACAGCAATGCCGTATATGATGTCATCATCACAAATTTTTATTTTTTTTACCTTGAACACGAATTACATAATAAAAGTTATGTTTATAATTTTTAATTTGAATATTTCATAACATTGTAATATTTAATTCCAGATAACAATAATAATCGACCCAGCATGTTATCTTTCAGGCAATTCGTATAGGAGAAGCACTTGCAAACATTGCAGTTATATATACTAATAATTTTAAAATAACAAAATATAGCAGTTACTTTAATACGCGTTTTTTATTTATACAATCTACTGATTCACTTTTATAACTGTTTAAATGTTTTACTTTTAGGTAACTGCTTAGAATGCTACCACTGCAACATTACAATGTCCTCAGCTAGCAAAGATGATCCTTGTAATGGAAAAGCAACCCTACAAAAGTGCCAGGATCCAGCTGTCTGTTTAGCCGCCAAATATTCATACCAAGGTAATTTCTTGTTCGAAAACTACTTAACCAATATTTGCCCGTTTTACTACAAAATAATTCACATTAATCCAGTCATATGCAACAATTTTGGCACTGTTGTTTCAATATGTAATTTTTTAAGTTTTGTATTCTTTATATTTAATTTTGTTCTATTAATATTTATAAATTATTTTGGCAAGAAGGCCAGATCTTTCTGTAGTAGCTGTTTTTGTGTATATTGTATCAAATTTCTTTTATTTAGCACAATTATTGTACAATATAATAAATTACAAACTTTAATAACTTTGACGTTTACACTATAACAAAATTACAACTTAGTTTTCAAAAAAACTCTCCGCACATTGACGCTGCCGTTTATATATTTTTCTTTTCTCGAAATTTCCATAGGTTTCTAAAAACAGTATCGAAGAATATCTAAGCTTCTAAGAACATTAGAAACATCTTGAAATGAATAAAGAAATTTATAAACAAAGTACAATTGGTTAATTTTCGATACACTGCCCTCCTCTAAAAGGTGATCACCCTTATCAGCAATCAGATCCCTCTCCGACAGGTTCATTATTGGGCCAAACAATCCAAACAACTTTCATTTTCGCTCTGAGCCCTCTCTGGATCCTGCAGATCACGTTGTTGTTCCTCTTGCTTGCCATATATGGACCTTTCCAGAAGTTCCAGAGCGTAAATTTTCCTCTCTTCCTTTTGCTTGGAACCCACTGCTGTTGGCTCTTCAAATTTAATTTTCTGGCGGACTTCGTCATTGATGGCATCAATCCTTTTAGTTAACTCGAATAGGTAGTCTTTCGGTGTGTTAACTCGACCTTCTAGGTGGGCAATACAATGTCAATAGGTAGTCCCAATTCTCTACTAAATACTATGCTAGCTGGCCTTCTTCAGGTAGTCTAATAGACTGCTAAGCGATAAGCTAATAGGAAAATTCAGTCTCTCCATCATGCTGTCACATTGTAGATGCAAAGGTGTTTTGGTCTTTCTGATATTCATCAATTGACATACTCTTTGGAACATATCCGATTCAAAATTTCGCCCTTGATCCGAATGCAGTTCTCCTGGAACGCCTAATCTGGTTCTCAATGAGAACTGCTCCTACCATCACTGCCTCTTGATTTGGGATGGGATATACTTCTGGCTATTTACTGAAGTAGTCCATCGTTATCAGGCCTGGGCTTCCAATTTCAGGTCCTTTGTTGCTGGAACAGACAGAACACCGACGACACCAATCTTCTACTCTATTCGGCTTCCTGGCAAGTAGAACCTTCCTTTATCCAAAGTCTTATTTACGCCGAATTGTCCTCCACCTACTCCACCATGAACTTCTTTCAGCACTTCGTTGACTCTATTTCTTGGAAGCACAATCTTTCGTACATTGCTATCTGGAGTTTTCCACTGCCTCTTCAGTAACGCATTTCTTAAGATGAGTGGGTCCAAAATTGCCCAATAACCTTTTAACGTCGATGATTTGTACGATATTTCTGTCCATTTTAGTCGAGTCCCATGTTCCTTCCAATTAATAATCGCTAATGCTGGATCTGCGTTTCTATGAAGTTGTCCTTTTCAATAGTAAAGTTATACTCGTACTTTTGTAAAATTTGTAACTAAATTTCCAGGTTCTTAAACTGGAATAACCATTTTAAAGAAGCTTGATCTGTTCTAGCTAGCTCTATAAAGCAGGGTTGGTGGATAGGCCAAGTGAACTAAACGGACCTATCGGCCTCATACTGTTGTAAACTCTCATTTGTTCTTTGAGTGAATCTTCACCAAATCTCATTTTTCTAAGTGCTGCACTTTTATTGCGACATCGAACTGTTCCATGTAGGTTTTCCAAAAAGATACCATCATAAGCTGGAGGTTGAATTTTGACGGATTTTGGTGAAACGCATAGATTTGACAGTACAGTCACGCCTTATTCTAACCTTTCCAAATTCTTTCTTCGTATCTTCTACTTCTTTCCTTACAATTGTAACCTCTTCTTCCACTGCTTTATTTATTATTATTTATGTCTTGATATTTTCTATCCTACTGGCTTGTTCATATACTTAATTGTTTCTTCATGTCATCTTTCATAAACTTTAATAGAACTGTATCTCTTTTAGACTCTTCCTTGCCAGCAACTACAACTACGTTGAAAACCTGCTATCTCAACTTAGGAGGAAAGGAATGTCAGATATTTCTACAGAATATAAGAACTGTCAACTCGGCAACCGCCAAAATCGACTTCAGCGAAAGTTGCGTGACCTGCTCTGAAGACGGTTGCAATCATGAACCCGAGGATTCGCCTTCGCACGAAACGACCACATTAAAATCAGCTGGTTCCACCGTTTCGGCCTCTTTCTTCATCAGTCTACTTTTGTTGATTACGGCGAGGTTTTTGTAATATTTTAAGTTTTATGTAATAAATTGTTAATATTATAATTATGACTGTATGATAATAAATACTTTATAAGGTATGCAGTTACTGGAATTTAATTCCAACAAATAAGTATTTTCTTTGTTATAGAAGTTTTTTCGTGATCTTTTAAATACACCCTGTATATGGACATTTGGACTAAGTGTCTTCATTCTTGGCCAATAAAACGTTGAAGTAATTCTATATTTTATTTTATACAGGATATACACCAAAGATTTCCCAGCTATTTCTAGGTTTTCCAGGTACATTTGATACATTTTCCAGGAAAAATGTTTTATTTTATAGGCAAATAGACAACATAAATTAAGGGAAAATGGTATAATTTCATGTTAATCATATATTTTAATTGCTAGTACCATTTGCGATGTAAATGAAGACAAAGAAAGTTATTTTTCAAAATTACAAACACTTACGCAGATATCCATTTTTTTAAATCGGTTCATGCACATTTTGAGAACTGCTATCCGCGTGAAAAGTAATCACTTATGGCAGTGTACCAAAGAACTGCCAGTTTTCAAAATCATGCACAGGGAAATTTTATATAAAATATAGAATCAAAATATTTTAGTTTTATACAGTAACTGGGTTTATGAGCTTTGAACCTGTCATTCTAAAGCTGTCAAATCTCTCTGTACTTGTACACAATGTCGTATTCCAAAGTTACGACCGTATCTCAAATTTTTGCTCAACGTTCCAATAGGAACCGTGAAGTTGCCTCCAACCACTACGAAGGGCCGATGCTGTCGACAGAGCAGCCGCCTTTTTTGAAAAATACGTTCATTTGTTTGGAATTTCGGAAGTTGAAGAGTTTTCCGAATATTACGGAATTCGAACAGGGAAACCGCAAGACAAAACCAAAGTACCACGTCAATCATCAGCTCCAGTCGGCGACAATCCAAAGAGACAGACAATCCAATTGCTCAAACTCAGGCGAATTTGGCTAAGGACCTCTGCCGACCCATCAACGACTGCGATCGAACGTCGACACTGATACCTTGTTCATTAACCAAGAACGGTACATGGCTAGTACGTATAACGTTTTAAATTATTGCCATTTTGCCTTGTATAAAGGCTCTGTAGATCCATAACTACCCGTTTGTTATAAATTCCAATTTTTTCGGATGGAATGTATTGACGTGAAAATTGAACTGTAGTAGAGAATAGCCCAAGAAACAAATGTTATATAGTGCCGATGTGTGCTTTTACCCTAGGGGTGGATGCCACTCCTTCTGTAAGGTGGGAATTTTTTTATTATAAATAACTTCACGATTCGATAGAGGGTCGAATTATAAGCAAACAATGTTCTATAAGAATTTTTTGTACAGTCAATACTTTTTGAGTTATTTGCGCCTAAACATGTTCGTTTTTAGCCCAAAAAATGCATGTTTTTGAGCCACTTTTCGCAAATATTTCAAAAACTACAAGTTTTGTCAAAAAAATTATCATAAGCAAAAATGAAGGTAATTAAATAGCAAAGAGATTGCTTTTTTTATTTTTGTAAATGGTGTAGAACCCGAGTTATAACTCCCAGAAGTTGAAGTCAATTTCGAAGATAGCTATAATCGAAACGTTCAACGTCCTGTAGCGGAAAAATTAAAGGTTTTTCGAGGAAAACTTATATAATACCTATTAAAGTGCTTGACAAGACCTTTAAATTGAGTGTTGGTAGAAGTCGTTAGCAAGAAAACTAATGAAGTTACAATCAAAATAAAATGATTGACTAATCTAGTCAATCATTTTATTGAGACAAAAAAATCGGTATTAAAATTAATGACTTGACGGAAAAAAAATTAAACGTATTCCTTCTGCAATTGACTTTATTTATGTATTAACAGTAGATCCTGGGAATTTGAACGATTTTAGAAGCCTAAATTTAAAACATTTTTCATTTACTTTGAATAACATTTTTCAATTTTTAAAAAAATCGCCATTTTCAAAATATTTCAAAAACTAACAAAGTTATAAAAAAAATGATAGAATAAGAAATTGTAGGTTTTTTCTTACTGAACAATTTGCTTTTTTAAATTTTTGTAGGACAAAATTTGACTGAGTTAGAAGCTCAAAACTAAGTTCCAAGACTGCATTTTCTGAGCCTTTTAGCTTACAAGTCTAAAAAACGAAGGGCTCAAAAAAACTGCAAATCACAGATCTTAAAGTGCTTAAATACCCTACAAAATGGTTTTTTTTATAACTAAAATTTTCGGCGCGGGTAAATTACTATCATCTTTGTGTATTTTGGAGCACCTGAACTGATTTGAGTAAGTATTTTAATAATATACATACACAAACGTATCCATTTATAATGTATATAATTTTTTTTTATTTGATATAAATTTAATAAAAAAATATTAAGAATAAATTCAAGAAATTTAAAAAATAAAAATTATATCATCATATTCGTATATAATTTTTAGGAAATTTTTCTATAAGGGGTAGGATTTTTTATGAGGAGTAGGTCTTCCATAAGGGTTTTTTGGGTGGCTGAAAAGTTGCATGAGCTTGTATGCAAATTTTCAGGAAAATTCATGCTATCCGAAAAAATTGGGAGCCTTTACTTTATTTTCGTCTTCAGTGACTGGACTAAATATAAAGACCAATTATAACTGGAATTAAAAAAAAAATCAGGAAAATTCAGGAGGAATTCACTGATTTTCTCTGCTGCTGCCGGCTAGATGGTTCGGGCAATTATGCAGTGCTGTATTTACTCTACATGATGTTTTTTTTTAAGGACTACATTTCCTCTCCCCTCCCTGTACATTCATTTCACAATACTTATACAGTACGCGCCTAAAGTATGGAATAAATTCAGTAAAACCGAAACAAATTTTTTTTGGGAAAAATCCTCGAACAGGTCGATTTTTAATTTAAAAAATACATATTTTAGCATAAACGGCCATTTTCAACCGTCATTTCTTTTCGAGTAATGACGTCATCGACATTTTTCTTAAACAGCAACCCCCTATTTTTTTCTTGATTCTGAAAGATCGTTTCATTGTCGATCCGACAGTATTAAAATGTTGCCATCTTACATAGGAAAGTTTTCGAGTAAATGACGATTGAATGTTAGAAAACGTAAATTTTATTCATTAAAAAAATAACAATTCCTATGTCAAGCAAATACAATTCATTAAGTTTTCTACCTAAATTAAGTGTTCGAATTGCCACCCACCGACTTCTTGACAATACGCAAGTCTGTGTAGAAATTCTTCTTGCACATTATGAATTATTTCTGGGGTAACTCTGTGTATTTCATCTATAATACAATTTTGGAGTTCTTCTAAATTATGTGGTCTATTAACGTACACTTTGGACTTTAAGTAGCCCCATAAGAAATAGTCCAGGGGTGTAAGATCTGGGGATCTCGCGGGCCATTCTATCGGTCCTCGTCTGCCGATCCACCTCCTAGGAAAACAATTGTCCAGAAAATCTCGAACAGGGCGCGCATAGTGCGGAGGTGCACCGTCTTGCTGAAACCATATGGTGTCATCAGGAATATCAGGGTCATTATCGTTAGGAAAAATTACTGCAAGCGCTGGAACAAGGTCATTTTGTAAAAACTCTAAATATCTTTCTCCTGTAAGGGTTCCTTCAAAGAAGAAAGGCCCTACTATTCTGTTGTCAACTATTCCAGCCCACACATTTAATTTCTGTGGGTGTTGGGTATGTGTCTCTGCCATCCAATGAGGATTTTCCCGACTCCAATACCTGCAAGTTTGACGGTTCACTGTACCATTGAGACAAAACGTGGCCTCGTCTGAAAAAAGTATTTGCCGGTGTAAATCTCTATTTACTTGACATAAATCCATCATAATTTCACAAAAGTGTAAGCGGCGGTCGGGATCGTCTTCATTGAGTTCCTGCACAAGTTGAATTTTGTAGGGATGATATTTTTCCTGCCTCAGGATACGTAGCACTGTGGTCTGACTAATTTCATTGTTTAATGCAACCAATCGTGAAGTATTATGAGGATTATCTACCATACTTATCAAAATGTTCTGTTTGTGATCTTCACTAACGCTTGGACGTCCAGGTTTTGGAATATCTACAACATTGCCAGTTTCTCTAAATTTAGATTCTATCTTACTGACTGTTGATTGGCTGATACGGCGATCTGGATGTTTTTCATTAAATAAATCGCAAACTTCCTGCTGCGTTCTAGTCTTATCCCCGCATCCGATAAGAATTAAAATTTCAATTCTTTGTGTGACAGTTAAATATGTCATAATACTTTAAATTCAACAATAATTTTTATATCGCTTACAATACTTAGAAAGTTGGTATGACAGTGACACTTTGTAAAGATTTACACCTACGTGATCCATAAAAAACTTCAGGTATTTTGAAAAACTAAATTTGATAACGTTTTTGCTTTATTTTAATTGATTTGGGTTTTCTAACATTCAATCGTCTTTTACTCGAAAACTTTCCTATGTAAGATGGCAATATTTTAATACTATCGGATCGACAATGAAACGATCTTTCAGAATCAAGAAAAAAAATAGGGGGTTGCTATTTAAAAAAATGTCGATGACGTCATTACTCGAAAACAAATGACGGTTGAAAATCGCCTTTTATGCTAAAATATGTATTTTTTAAATTAAAAATCGATCTGTTCAAGGATTTTTCCCAAAAAAAATTTGTTTCGGTTCCACTGAATTTATTCCATACTTTAGGCGCGTACTGTATAAATCAATTAGAAAAAAATCATAACCAAGGTAACCACAATTAAGATTTGACATGCAATAATAATATTCAGTCTCTTGTCAAATTGGCGCTATATTTTCCAATTTCCAGACCAACGAAGGTGATCGAAAATGCCTTTCAAGCCATTATCCTGCGTTTACGGCAGTAAGTAGTTCAAAAATAGATGGTTTAAATACAAAAATCTGTGAGTATCTGTTTCAGAAGTTACAATACCTCAAAGATTTATTGTCGGAATCATGTTGCAACTAGCTTTGATAAATTCCTACCACTTGAGAGTTGTGCTGAACATAGCCATAACTGAGATGATACGCCCCCCCCAAGAACAAGAAAAAGAATACGATTCATGTCCGGAATTCAAACATGAAAAATTGGATATTAAGGTAAAATAAGAGATTAAAAGGTTACCTAGAGTCTTTTTACTTCTTAAATATTTCTATTATTGTCAGAATATCGCAACATTTAAAGCCGGGTACTCATTGACGAGCTGTAACTGTAACTGCAACAGTTACTGTATCAGATCGTCGCGTTGTGTATACACTTCTTGCTTCTCGCGAACTTCTAGATCCGCAGTGTTTGCAGAGAGCTCGCGATGTCGGTACCAAAAGAAATGCTTACCAGTGCTGCATTTATTTTAATAGACGTATTGATTGAAGATAAACGTCGGCGATGGTGGCACCATGCAATCTACGAAGAAATGAATCTTCGTTATTTGTAGCTTTGACATTTCGTAACTTTCAATTAATGTTCTTTCAACGTGTTTATCTTTGTTTGTTGCGAGACTAACGGGCGTACACACTTCCGAACCACCCAAATCAACGTCAACGAACCAACCGAGAATCCCTTTGTATTCGTCCTGAAGACCAACAACTGGCGGTTATCTGCGAGCGGTTCGAAGTGAGCTTCCCACGTTTTCTAATGTATGCATTCGCACTAGACGTTCCCGAGCTGGTCGCGGTAGCATTGCGTTCTCTACCGATCTTTTCCAAAGAAGCTCGGGAGCTAGGGCGTCGCCAGCCAATGCACTAGGGGCAAGGACATTTAAATAAAGGGGACTAGGCATGTCACAGTCTGTCTCATATGTTGGATGAAGCTAGGCAAGGGGAAAGCAGAGGGCTTTATTTTCATCCAACTGATGCGCGCGATTACATCTCCACTGTCGTACGTTTTGGAAGGGTCAAAATAAAATATTTTATAGTCCTATATTTCAACAGCTACTCAGTATTTTTATAATATATATACAGGGTGTTTCAGAAAGACGTCCCGTAAATACAGGGGGTGATAGTACGACAAAAAATAAGAATTACTAAAATTTTTTAAATAGAATTTTCACGAAAATTTCTAAACGGTGCGAAATATTTTTATGAAATTTGCTATTCCGGGGTTTTTAAGCATGCGCATATACATATTTTTAATGTTAGGTTTTTTACCATTGGGGCTCCAAATTCCAATGTACAATTTTATTTTTTAAAAATAATGTATGTACTCTTGTTAGAACTTCCTAATGTGGACGATTTTCGAGAAAAAAGACTTTCAATTGAACTCTTACAGTGTATAAAATAAGTGACTTTTCTCAAAGTAGGTTTATGTCAAAACTTATTGATGGATGTCTCACAAACAACGCATACGTTCTTAGTAATATTTTAAACTCTAATTAACTTATATCAAAATTTTAGTGATTGTTAGTAACTGTAGTTAGTAATGACTAATTAATTAATTATTAAAAAAATTAGAACTTAAAATGTAATAGGAATGTAGCATAACTAGCGCCCTCTATGAAATATCCAAAAAGTAATTAGACCAGCGTATTTGGCATCCTCAAAAACACCGGATTGGCAAATTTCATAAAAATATTTCGCACCGTTTGGAATTTTCGTGAAAATTTTATTTAAAAAATTGTATTATCGCTCTGTATCTCGAAAACAAGAGGAGATAGACATATAGATCATAAGACAAAAATTTCTTAATTTTTGTCGTACTATCACCCCCTGTATTTACAGGAGGTAATATTTTTATAAATTATTCTGGGAATCCCAATAACTGTAACCATTTCTTTCTTGTTGCAACATACCCAGGCATCCTAAAAACATTCACATTTCACTTTTAGAATACTGAGGCAAACTTTCAGTGAGACATAAAAATATATTCCCAAAGAAGAACATCAATATGGTTGAATGAATGCAACTTTCAGTTGATTGCATCTTCGGTATTTTTATGTATAAGTGAACCCACCACCATATTTTTGCTGCAGTATTTATTCAGTTTTTATGCTCGTGTATTTAGTAAAATTGTAAATATATTTTTGAAAAGGTTTTTGTCGTAGAGGAAAATGAAAATGATGAATGATTAAAATTTGTAATGTTGGGTATAAGGGATAACATTGAAATACCTATAAATATATTAAATATAAATAATGTCTGTAACTTATTTGTGGTGCAGCATTTTCCTTTGATTTTAATGACCAAACATGGTTCATATTATTGTTTTCTTACTATCTCAGCAAAAATTTTAAAAAAATACCAAAAGTCAGTTTTATAAAATTTTACCGTTATTCAAATAAAAGTTACCTACAAGCACGACAACGGCCAGAGTTGCATGTACATTCCAAAGTCCAATTCAAGCACGCTTACCTGTGGAAGGATAGATGTGGATGTTTATAATCCAATTTCTTACAAATTCTGCACTGTCTAACCATTTCACACCTTAAAAGTTTAATCAAAATACATATATAAACACTAGTCACGTTTCAATTACTAAAATCACAACTATTTTCTAATAGCTGTTTTACATTGACAATTTATTGATCAATTAATTCATGAAGTCGCTCCATCAAGAAATTGGACAAGTGTATTGCATCAAATCTGCTGTCAAATAACTTCATGAATTTATTCATCAAGTTCTTGACGAATTAGAGCATGTTCTAATTTTTGTCAATTTCTTCGTGAAGTTCAGAAGTACCAACCCAACAGATTTCCAACCTCAGATCAGTAATGAGGCTATGCTATTGGAATATGTAAATAATTGTGTGGCGTCGTACTAGTTTTGCATTGTTTTTACTGATTTGTTACTTACAATAATACTAATATATATATAATATTACTAATATTTATATAATATGTGTCAAAAC